GATATGGATATTTCCATTTGTTCTAAATATATGAAGTATGAGTTTCTTACTTAAAGTTAAAATCTCTAATTTTGTTTTCTCCCCTAATCAGGAGGCGTTCATTATTCATACCTCCATTTTGATCTGTAGTCTTTGTGAATGTATATAGTTATGTTATTGTGTTTAGCCACATGAGGTAAAACTTACTGGTATGAACACATTTCTCTATAACGTTCATTACTGACAGCTGTCATAGGAACGCCAAGACTAAAAAAAAAACGCCTTTTTCATGGAAGGGATTTAGATGTGAAGTCATAGATAAAGGTGATCTTTCTTTGCTCCTCTACTTGAATGGGGGATATTAGAGAATAGGAAATCACGAATGAAAGATATTACATAAGTTCTTGTTTGTTTAGCACAAAGCTACACAATGGGCTATCTGTGGTGTACCCACCACGGGTATCGAAACCCTGTTTTTAGCGTTATAAATCTTAGGAATTAAAGCTGGGCCACTGGGGGCATGTTACTATAATATATTGATAATTACAGAGACAGAAGGTGGACAGAGATAGATGAACTGAGATGCACGAGATAAACACGTGTTATATGAAGACAAATAGTTTCGCCAGGAAGAAGGCGTTAAAGCTAAAGTGGACCATTGGGTAGATAAAAGAGTTTCTGGTCATAGCCTGAAACAAGTGGTCAGTTGCTAAGGTTGTGAACCTGATTTTAATGGATAGAAGTTTACAAAGGGTGTCGAGACTAAATGAAAATAAAGGTTACAGCAGTTCGAGACAGAACAGTGTAGTACCGAACATTGTATAAATACACTCTTCTTCCTTCAAGTGATATTGTTAGATGATTGAAGGTCATCGTTAAGCTGACTGAATGATACAATACATCGACTATGTGAAGGAAAGAATTTTTAGTTTCACTTGTAGAAAAGCCAGAATGGTATTGATCACAATGAACATGTACATTGTGTTGGAATTATTAAATAACCTTCTTATTTATATCAAAGTTTTTTAGATATTTTGCTTTAAGGCTACAACATTGGTAAGATATTTTTTACATTTATTTATCTACTATAATTCCAATAATATACACATAATTGCAGAAGTAGGGCCACACAATGCTGGGTATACCATTTATCATAGTTAATCTCCATGCATAAGCCTCGAATATGGAATAATAATAATAAACAGATTAATAGCAAGTGTAAGTGCTCGAGTTAACAATCATCTATATTTAAACACTATTATATCATTAGGTTGTATCTACACAATGTTTTAAATTCGTATCCAGTTTCACGATAGGTTTACTGAGATTGATTTTCAGAAAAAAACTATTAGTTGAATGTTTGAAGTTAAGCACAAAGCTACACGATGGGATCTCTGTGCTCCGCCTATCACGGGTATCGAAACCCGGTTCTTAGCGTGGTAAGTCCACAGACATATCGCTGTGCTACTGGGAGCATCAATTATTTCGAATAATTGTAATACTAATAACTACGTTGGTTTTCCTGGATACAAGTTTCTAGAATATTAAATAGTCGAACTTATTACTTTCTTTATACAAATATAATGATGATCCAATTGATTTAAGATATCTTATATAAACATCGAAACTTTTTTCCAAATTTAAAGACATATCTCGCGTACTAGCAACTAATTCTTCAACTTTTCATTTATTTTAGAATTATTTAGGCATTGTATATTTTGCTAAAAATCATTTGCCAGTTGTCGATCTGAAATATAACACTTTCCTTAAAATATTTGCTTTCATAATAGCCATTTTACATGTTTAATTAAGAATTGATTGAACGAGTATCGTTTGTTTTTAATTAAGCACAAAGCTACACAATGGGCTATCTGTCCTCTACCCACCACGGGTATCGAAACCCGGATTCTAGCGTTGTAAGTCCGCAGACATATCGCTGTGCCACTGGGGGCATTGACCGAGTAATATCAACAAACGTTTTTATGATACTCTCAACAACTATTTTAGTGCATAAAGTAAAAAAAAAAGTAAATTTCAAATTCATATATTTGCGAATTAATATTGGTAAATAACTGATATTTTATTTCGTTTTAAATATTCTCGTACACAAACATTCATAATTTTTGTAAACGTTAAAAATATTGTTGCGTCAGCGAGTCACGTGGCTACTATGACGCAACGTTTCTAGAACTATCATGTACTTTGTCGAATGTTCAAG